AAGTTCAATTTCTCTGAAGAGCGTAAATTGCAGCAGGAGCTGGGTCCGAAGAGAGGATCAACGGACACACAGGACTGATTTTCTTCTTCTGCCGGGTGTCCTTGACGAGCTGGTCCCAGATCCCATCGATGCCCCAGCGACAGCTCCTCCCATCATTCCCGATCCCGCGGTGATGGAACATGATGATGAGCAATCGAGCTCTCGAGCGTCCACGATTCCGTCAAACAATTCCCGGAGCCTTCGCCACAAAAGCTCGTTCCTGTCCATATCCACAGCAACCAGCAACGACAGCAATGTTTCCACAGACAAGACGCGGCTGTTGGCGGGATATCCCAAGTCAAACCACTCCTTCCGAGATAGTAGAGCCATGACCCCTTCTGGATCAATCGGCAGATCACGAAGGGACCTCTCAGCATCTACTGGCCGTCAACCGTCAGTGTATGGCATGTTAGGCGAGAATCATGGTCGAGATCAACACTCATCCATGGCTTTTTCCAGCCAGTTCCATCCTCCCCACTTCCCTCTTGAGCATACTCAACCAGGGACAAGCGGATCGCCAGCTCCCAGTCTTGACCTGAGAGACCTCGACGCAGGTGGCGACGCAACAACATTCGGCCTCGATGATGTTGATACTGATGTTCTCAGTGACGACAACGCTTATTCGAGTACAATTATCGAACTCCCTTCAGGCATCACGGCGTGCTTGAACCCAGTATCAGTGCGCTACGTCTCAGGGCTGATTGCAGCTTTACAGCCGACGGACCCAGAGGACATCTTGGACTCTCTTCAGATGAATGCTGTTACAAATTTGGTCGACGAACAGAAACAAGCCAAGGTCAAAAGTCACATCAAAGATGTACTACTTAAAATTCCGCGAGCAAGCATTCGCTTCCTCAATGCAGAAAATGATAACCCTGAAGTGGCTCAAAATGCCTGTGATCAGTACGACATCACCTTTTCGCGACTTGCTTTAACATCACGATCAGCATCGAAAACAGCGCAGTCTCTTGATAAAGGACGATCAATAGCAGCGCAGACAAAGACGTCCCTCATGCTGAGACTCGGCTCTGCCGAAGCTTCAGTTGCGGAGCGCTCGCCTGGACTTGCCGAGAATCAAGCCGCGGTCATGGCAGAAGTTGATCGCGTGGTGCTTTCCGTCGGGTCCAAAGATGTCACGTACATCGACGGAGAAATTGATGCTATCAGAAGCAGTACAGCGTCTGGAAAAGTCGACTACCTCGCGTCGCTTGTCCACCGGACCGGTTTAGTGGCTTCCGAATTGGGTGAATTACTGAGCGAAACGGTAGCTCACCATGAACGGCGGATGAAGCTCTTGATACATACATTGGTGACGGAGGGGCAGACAGCGCCTGATCCGACGTTCCTTGTCCGCCCATCAGCTGTTTTGCGGTCCGCGGCTGGCCATCTACGGACTGCTGATGCGTGGAAGTTAGCCGTTCGACTGCGTCAGATATACGTCTGGCTCCCTGCCACAGTCCGGGACCGTCTGCTTTACAAGTCTTTAAGCAATACCATCACTGTACCGCCGCATGCGAGGGAGCAGGTGATTAGCTCTTTTCAACGCTGGCGTGGGTGGGATTTGGACAATATTCCTGGCTCTCAGCTCATCGCCAGCGTTTTCGGAGGAGCTCCTGACCATGGAAACACTCCACAGCCAATCATGCCCTTGCTGGTTGCTTTCCGGCTCAGAGAAGTCCAATTGATTCTAGATCCTGGTCCGAAACAAAACAGGCTGTTCCTATCAGAGCTGACTGCGAGACTTGAGAAGAAGCCAAATGACACAGCTCGCAAGACGACTGAACCCGGAAACATGCCTGTCCTCAATATCAACTGCAACGATGCGGCAATCAACCTCAACTGGGAACTGTGCGAGCTCGCAGATGTTTTACTCCGGCTGTACAACGGATCTAGGCGGCGAGACAGTCCTGCAAGTCAAACTTCCACGGAAGCAGCACCGGACCGCACGAGTGACGTGCAGGCTCGTCCACCGATGCATGTTGTCATGGCTCTCTCGAGGGGGTCAGTCGAAGTTGATACGATCAACCTGAGTGCAAAAATCTTGGGAAACAATCTCAAGGCGTCCTTGCTCACCCATTCGCTCGAAGATGAAAGCACCTCGCTGAATTTCATCCTGAGCTGTGACGCTGTCACCTCCAGGCTCCACCACCGCTCCCAACTGTTGGGCATGTTCCAGCTACGCAACCCGAGTGTCTTCATCTCCCACGAACTGCAAGAGCTTGACGTCGTGTCCTGTCACACAATTAAGTCAACAGCAAGCAGCCAGTCCCTCACCCTTGTGGTGCGGCAAGACCCAATAGTGCTCCTCGAAGTCGTCGATGTTTTGGTCAAAGATGAGCTTGCCCAGCTTTACCAATTGAAAGAGCAGCTTCCATCTAGCCCGCCGACACACAGCGACGACCACAGCATTGCGGGAAGGATGTCATCCTTCAGAGTCAATGTGGCAATGTTCCTTGATGAGTACGACATCAGCGTGCCACTACTCCAGTCCCTCACGTATAATTTGTCAGGAGTCGTCTCTCGGGCTGCTGTAGCGGCAAATTTCGGTAAAAGAAGCTCATTTTTGACTTTGACAATCAAGGAAAAATCAACACGACTGTCCGAGTCAATGTCAACAATCAGCCCGCGGAAGCATTTCTCTTTCTTCGTATTCCCGCCAAATAAATCGGACCGAATCAAAGAGTTTGCATGGGGTCCCAACTTGAATCATTCCTGTCGAACCGTGTTCCTGCCACCCGATTGAAACTAAATA